TGCTTCATTCCATTTTTAGGGACGCCTCCCACAAGCAAATTATGTATATCATGCATTAATATCTCGCATTGAGCGAGCCTACCACAAACACGTCCAGACTTTGCCTCGAGATTTCTTTAATCGACGGTCGAAAATCCGACAGAGAATGAATAGCAACGAGACTCCGTGGGTTGCCTCGCGAGACTCGTCCACACTGAGCAAATTTTTAATGTCTCGCCCTCGTCTCGTCAGGTCTGTTCGCACCTTAAGAAATTAAGCTAAGGGAGACTGTCTTAGAGCATTGAGCATTTTTTCAAAAAATTTAAATGTAACAATATATCTAATTTTCCCTGAAGATTGTATAAAAGCTTAATAAGAGAAAACAGCATATCGATTTTCTTTTTTAAATCGAAGATATTAGCAAAATAGTAATAAGTACGAGAAACTAAGAAAAAGAAAATAAGCCTTAACTACCTAATTATAAACACATAGTATCAGGAGCTCCCTTGATTACGAGGGGTGTCTTACTTGAGTAAAAAATGTACATGTACCTACTGCCTAAATATAATTTAATTGCCAAGCGTCTTATATGTCTGTCATATAATTATAGTCGACTGTCGACTGCCGTAAGAGTGATGCCAACGACTGCCAATGACTGCCAAGAAAATGTACGTGTAATTCCAACAGTAAAACACAATAGCCTCGCTTGTTTATGACCATACTAATATAAAATGAATGAAATTATGATATGACTGAATTTGATTACTTCCTCAAAATCCTTCTATTACTTGAAGCGGTGGTTGATATCATTGGGACACATTTCGAATGCTTGGGAATTGTATGATAACATATTTATGTTGTCTAACAATGCTTCTCTAAAACATAGAGCAAGAGTGTTTGTTTCGATGCTATGTAACAAAATTAACATCTCTACTAAATATATTTGTATTACAAGCATAAAGTTACGGTAATTTAATTTGTTTTAAAATTTTAGTTTCGTCATTCTTAGTAATATAATTTAAACCAGTTTGATTTATGGTTATATACCTATACCATATTAATATACTAACTAAATTATTTCCTACTGCAAACTAAACTCTTCTAACTGAATTATATGGTACTCGGCTGATGAAAACTTACACTAAATTTCTGTTAAATCACTAAAGAAATTAATTAATTTATAACTGTGTAAATTTACTTTAAAATATTCTCTAGGTATACCTTTGTGGCTATTTTATTTCTTCAAAAAAAACTTCTGGGTATTTCGCCACTCGAATAAAATCTACAAAATCCAATAGTTATTTTTTGTAAACACCGAGCTGAGTTGATCCAAATGAAACCAATTTGTCAGCGGTATTTTTATTAATGAAGCAAATAAGGGTAAGAGAATATTTTCCATGAAAAATTAAAGGGGATGAGCATGCAGAATCAGTGGGAGTAAGCAGCGCACAATAGAACGCAATGGAGAACAAAAATTATTGTAAACTCAGTTAACAACGACAACCAAAGAGTAAAGAGGCAACAAAGTAATGAGATTTTTGAATGACCGGAGTGCGGAAGAGGGATAACATCACGTATCGGGCTTTTCGGTCACAGAATAGCTCATGAAAGAAAACGCCTTGCGTAACCATCATCTGATGCATGTCAAATACTCGTCAACGAGTAATGGCAGTCAGTATGTAATGAAGCAAATTCGACTAAGGAACAAAAACTGCTTAATGAATTCAGGAGGTTTGGTTATATCTCCTCCTGTCGTCTGAAGCAAAAAAACCACAAAGAACAAAGGATAAGCTTTTTAATAGTTATTTTTTATACAAGACGATAAAATGGTATTTTATCGTCGACCGAAAAGATTAATTCACGAGCGATGAAATCGCGAGTGAATTAATTTCGGGAGTAAAAAATATTCAGAAATTCTTATTTCAAGGAATTTATTACTAGTAGAAAAAATATTGTGCTGGGTTGGCGTTGGTTTCTATGTAATTTGACAAATAAATAAAGCTGTCTCTGTAGTTGTCAGTTTCAAGTCAATATTTTTTAATTCTCTTTCGTGTCGATTACTGATTGAATTGGAGCCAGAAATGGCTCAAAACGAAATAAGTAAATTACCAACAGATATTCAGGCTGAGACGACAAACTCCATATCCAAACTACTTCCATTTAAATCCCGAATAACTTATGAAAAGGAATACAAACATTTTCAAAAATGGAAGCAATTAAAAAACGTGCGAGAAGAAATAAAGTTTTTAACCTATCCTCGCTGTTAAAGTATCATTTAATCTACCCTTGCGGTTAAAGTACTATTTTACCTACTATTTTTACTAGTTATAAGGCTATTTTAACAGTTGCTATGGAAAAAATATCTAAATACTTAAAATGCACATTTTGAAAATGAAAGCAGAGATATTTCGAGAATGTTTGCAGTTTTATCTTAAGAAGAGTTAAATATTTCATTTTCAAATAGATTTTAAAATCAGACAGCGATTAGACGGGACTTAAATACTTAAAATAACTGTAAAAAATTGTATGGATTTTTTGTATTTATCAAATTTTGTCCCATTTTACATACCTCTGTATCTACTTTTACATGCATTATGTATTTATATTTGCATTAGGAATATACACGATAAAAAAATGAAAAAACAAGCGACCCTCTTGAAAGTCGTCGATAAAAAAAATTTGAATAAAAAATTCAAATATTTCCGCCCCTAACGAGACCCGAAATGGGAATTTTCGTCCCTTTTTACAGAAATACCCAATCGAAGGGCCAGCTGATAATCGAAGACCTACTTATTATTAAATTTGTCCCTTCAGTTTCCGGTCTCATTTATTATGTAACATGTTTTTCCTTTCGTTTCAAAGAAACGAAATATTATTAAAACGAAGACATTTCAAATCAGAATCGAATAATTGCCGTAAATATATTTTTTGGAGTGTCTTAATTTCGTTATCGAATAGGGTTTCTTCTTATTAATCTTACTAATTATTTTTTAAAAATTTGGTTGTTTTTATTTGTCTCATATGTAAAAAGTCCCTAATTTAGTATATGAGAGTCGCTATTATGCGTGAACCATAGAGGAATAAGAGAGGGGAGGCGCTAGAATAATTATTTCTATAAAATAAAAACGGGACCTGCCAGTGAACTACTTCATCAGGACCACATTACGGAAACTTCAAATCATAAAAGCAAATATAATGATTAATATTTGCCTTGCGATATTGTCATATTAATCCACCAAATGTGATTTTCTTGGAATCGATACCTTTTCTAGTACTACAACTGCGTACAGCACACGACTCAATAGGTTTTTAACAGAAAATACTCAAATTTTTGATTAAATTTTGGGGAAAATGCACAAATGACACAAAACTAACACCAAAATGGCTGGCTAATCCCGTTTTTGCCACAGCTATAGCGCTACTATCGCTTATTCCTCCATGATGTAATCTAAACAGTAAAACTTCTAAAATTATACAGGGTGAGTCGTAAATAAGTGCAAATAGTTTCAGGGCTGGTAGATCTCGATAAAAACATATTTTCTCTTTGCCATTTTTCAGATTAGTCCAAAATAATCGAGCTATTTAAGTTTTTAAAATTTAAAAAAAATTGATTGATTTTTTCTCTATTTGCATTCCTTTTAGCGCCGTAACCATGGAGTAAAGCCGTAACTATGGTAATACGTGCGGTGAACGGGCAGTTCTAAAAGGTTTCGAAAAATATACAGGAAATTTAAAAGAAAATACACGATTTTCAACACCTTTTTGCGAAAAAAACTCATGGACGTGTTCCTGGGGTGAAAATATACCATCCCTGAAAATATTTGCACTTATTTAAGACTCACCCTGTATAATACACAAAGCTACTCACCTGTCACGGAGATGCTTGCAATCAGACTCCAGCATTGGTGCCTTTTATTAACTGGTTGCCATATAGTTGAAATGTCCATAGATGGATTGCTACAAATAAAATAATAAAATTACTTTAAAGACTTAAAAAAAATTCAACTATACAGGGTGTTCCTTAATGACATGCACATTTAAGGTGATTTTTGGACCTATTCTAAGAAAAAAACTTCATATGAATATATGTCTTAAATATCTTAACTTTTCAAATTTCTCTAATTGTTTTTCTAATTGTTTTTCAAAATATCTCTGATGGTATATTTGATACACGTTTTCCATGCATCAAAATGCTTATTTTGATATACAAAAAAATTGTTTTATTTCTTAATTTCCTTCCAGCCGATGCGCGATGCAGAAATTATATCCACACAACAGTCACCGCATCATATTTTCAGCTATTTGACCCAGAAATAAACTGACTTTTTTTTTAAGCAAAAACTATACTTCGGACGAAAAAAATCAAGAGAAAAAAAAATGTTTAGAAATGAATGGAGATTTTGAATATAATTTTTATTTTAAGAGAAGTTCGAGGTGTAAGGTGTGACACTTTTTTCTCCAAAAATAATCAATATTCTTTGTACACCAAAAAAGGTATTTTTGATACATAGAAAATGTATATCAGGTTTCATAAAGATGTCTTACTTCGAAATTACCATTATTACGAAACCCGATTACGAAAACCTCATGAATATAAAAGTTCATGCTAGTTGTATATGCAACCGGTAAATTGGTTTCGAAGTAACGGTATATTATAGGGTGCAATATTAAAATTTACCAATAGTGTAGCATTTAATAGAAAACCACACTGTTTAGTAACTGGAATCAGGAATATCTGAAATAATAATAATTATTGCCTTTATTGTTTCCCTTTTTTCATAAAATAACACAAATTATTTTAAAAATGTGTAAAGTTTCCCACATTCAATAAAAAAACACAACCTCTTTCTACTAACTTAAACCTTTCCGATGTTTCACATTCCTCCATTTTATCATCAAAGAAAAGTAACAGTGATTAATTTAATAGTGTAAACTTTCTTCAATTCAACAAAAACCCAACATTTTCCGCTATTTCCACTGTTTTAGAGCCGTTCTATGCTACATTTTCCTCTTTTTTCCAGGCGAAAAACCGTTCCCGTGCGAGTGGACGGGCTGTGGGAAGAAGTTCGCGCGGTCCGACGAGCTGGCCAGGCACACCCGCACCCACACCGGCGAGAAAAACTTCGCGTGTCCAGTCTGCAACAAGAAATTTATGAGGAGCGATCATTTGACGTAAGTGGTTACTATTAGGTGTTTTTTGACGTCTCGTTACGACGACGTGTCTTCGCTTGTTAGACCTAAAGAGCGATTTTAAGGTCGGCCAGATGACGTAAATACGTATGAGTATATATTTTTGTCGGGTATTTATGACTAAACTTTTTTATTTTAGAAAGTGTACAGTGTGGGTCAAATTGGACGCTTTTAAAAGGAAACACCCTTTATTGGAGATAGACGAGAACTAATATAGGTGTCTGGAGCTTAATTTTTATCAAAAACATGATGGTGAAGACCGCACATCAATATCTGTTACAGTTTCGAAGTTCTCAAAAATGTGCATTTTTTAACAAATCGCTGTAACTTTTTTGCTATGGAAAATTTTGTATTTTTATGAAAACATTTCCAAAGCACCCTTTTACATAGAATTTAATGGTTAAGTTTTTTAAAATTAATAATTTAAGAATTATTATCAACAGATAATTTGATTTTTATATGGGACACCCTGTATATTTTTAATTTATTGAAAATAATTTAAAATTACCTTTCAAAAAATTTTTAGCTTCTAAAATTTGCTCACTTTGAATAAGTAGGATTTGAACGGCCGCGGCGCCTGATGGCTGTATTGCAAGAAAATTCTAGCTGTGAGCAGCAATTAAAATTAAAATAATATTTGCAATGAGAGACGCAGAATTTTATAACAGTTTAAACTATATTTAACAACTTCTTTAACAACACATTTAAACTAAATCTGGTTACAATAAAAATAAATAGCACACCATGACATGAGATTTTGCTAAAGGTGTTCGACGTCTTCTGTTATGGACAGACGGGACCATTTTGAGCATAACCGCTAAGTACTTCGAATTATTGTCTAGACTATACGGACAATTTAAACATAACCTTTATTCTTCCGCAAAGATAAAATTCCACAGGCGCTAAATCAGGCGGCCTGGACGGCCAACGGCTAGAATCTTGGTTAACTTCTAGTAGAATTTATGTAAAATAATGCCCGTCCGTAATTGGCTGCAAACATTTTCTGATAACTTCAGCATTCTGAGGCGGTGCTTCGTCTTTCTGGAAAAAATATGTTTTCGAGTTCCATATAAAGAGCAAATCATCAATAAGGACTCCAAAACCTACTAGTTGAAAGTGGCGAACTTTTAAAAATTTTCTATTTCGAAGAGGACTATAACAAAATATCAAGTGTGCTATATATTTTTTTGGAAAGGTAATTCGTAAGTTCTTTTCGGTTAATTTAAAATATACAGGGTGTCCCGAATAAAAGATCAATTTTTCTGTTGATAACTCTTAAATTATTAATTTAAAAAAAATATATATTCTTAAATAATTAAATTCTACGTAAAAAGGGGCTTTGGAAATGATTTCATAAAAATATAAAATTTTCTGTAGCAAATAATTTACAGCATTTTATTAATTATGCACATTTTTGAAAAACACCCCGTTACTCTGAAACGGTAACAAATATCGATGTGCGGTTTTCACAATCATGTTTTTTTATAAAAATTGAGCTCCAGACACCGATATTAGTTTTCGTCTCCATCTATAGAAAATTGCGTTTCCCTTTAAAAGCGTCCAATTTGACCCACCCTGTACAGGGATTCTCGTTTAGGTGTAGAGATACAAAATGGGAGTTTTCACATCACTGCACTACTTTTTATGAAACTAAACATGGTTTTTCAAATACAGTTTTAAAACTTTGCAATTTTCGATACGAAGGGAGTATTGCTCGGTTATCTTATAACTGAGTTCCGTAGATTTTTTCACATACAAACCTACTAAACTAACTAAGTAACTACTATGTTACTACTTATTACTATGTTTAGTATGCAGATGTCTTGCATATTTGGGTTACCTTAATTATAATACATAACAACATATTAATACTACCCAAACTTTTTGACAAATATCTGTATTTTCAACATAATTAGCGGATATTATGTTTAACAAAATACCAGTTCATTTTTTTCCTTATATTTTTTTATCAAATTACATATATTCTCAAAGAAAAAACCTGAAGCAAAATTAACGAGATGATTAAATTACCAGTTCCCAAATAAAAAAGGGATGAAGTAAAAATAACGAGGCTAATCTAAGATATATTCATTCCTCTTCTCTCACAAACTTTGCTCTAATCCTTCTTCGATCCCGGTCATTATGAAAATTAGATAAAAATTTATGCTGAGCCATCGCTTCATTATTTCAAATTCGTTGCCAGTTTTGCTGCCCAATTAAAAGCAATAAAAAAGTTTCAAGGGGTGTTTGTCTCCCTCGTCATCCTTCACTCCCCTTGAAGCCACGATCAGTGGGAAATTAAAATAAGTTAAATTGATGTGGTGGCAGTTTTTTTCTTTTCCCATTTTTCTCTCCGGTAAAGTTTCTAAGAGAAACTCAAACAGAAATCTTACAAAAGCGTTATTTAATTTGTCTTTATTCGATTTAAAAGTTTTGGTATCATGGAACAAATCAAACTTTATGGCCATTTTTAATGAAATAATTCGACTTATAGCTTGGAAATTGTATTATATTTTTATTTAATTTTTTCTTAAAAATATTTTTATTTAGATAGATGATTTGTTATTTTCTTGGCGTTGGTTCTATATCTCGGTTTTGCCAACGAAAATCTCATTTTCCCATTTATTTATTTTTCTCTTAACGAAGATCTAAAAGAAACTCAAACAGAAATCTTAGGAAAGTATTATATAATTTCTCTTTATTTGAACTAAAAGTTTTAGGAACAATAAATGTCAGGATCGTCCATACAGAGTGTCCCAAAAATAAGTGCAAGTATTTTAACTGTTGGTATATTTCGGCCTCAGAAACAAGCCTATGAGCTTTTTTTTGCGACAAAATATATGGTTTGGGTTTTCGAATTTTTTTTAGTTTTAAGTTAAAAAACATAATTTCTCGATAATATGGCAACATAGGGAATAGATTAAATTTACATGAAAGAAAATCCAGAAAAGATCCAGTGGTTCTCAAAATTAAGTGGTCCAGTGGAAAACATTAAATTCGAAAATTCGTACCCCCACCCGACCCCACCGTTTTTGAGAAACTCAAAAAATTTTGGATTCAATTTTCTGTCTGAACCGTAGGTCCCACAGAAAATTTCCTGGAACAAAAAATTAAGAGAATTAAATTCTCTACATTTTAATTTCTAAGTAACAAACCTCTAAACCACGGGGACAAAGTTGGAGGGCGCCAAAATCACTCAAACGCAGTTTTTTGCTTTTTTCCGGGTGAAACCATTTTTTTAATGTCGCAAAGTTTTTAAAAGTAAAGAGTATAAAAAAAGCTATCAAATTTACATGTATTTTTTTTTATGTTTTACAGTTTACGAGATATATTGCATTCATTCCCACAATGTGTATGAAACTTTTATGAAATCAATGACGTTCGATAGGGTACAGCAAGTTACCTCCGCAAATTACGATGTTCACTGGAACTGAGAAGTAGTACCATAATTTTTCTGTTGAAACCATGGATGATATCTTCTAAACTCCTTACTATTTTCTCCAATATTTATAACAAAAAATTCTATAACTACCTAAACACTAATAGACGACTTTCATATCACTTTGAACTGGAAGTACTTCGAAATACATTAATATTTAAATCAATAATATATTTTCTTTATATTAAACATTTAATTATCCCAAAGGGCCTGGAAAAGTTCGACTTGAGAATTATACGAAAAATTTTGCGGAAACTTACGGAAAACTATTTAATATCGAGTTTGCCTGGCCGGTCGGTACATCAGGGAATATTAGATATAAATATCTATTAATAAGTTTCGCGAAACTAATTTTGAACATGAAGAGAAAAACTAAAAAGTTGCTTTTTCAGAACTCTGATGAAAACCAATAATAATTTAGGCAAATCTTTCTTTACTTCTACTTTTAAAAAAAATGAAAACTAAAATATATTTTTATCTACCAAGAACAGGGAGTCTTCTAAGTGTTAATTAAATTTATGAGAAAACTGCAGGCAATTAACTATCTTTTTAATTATTTCTTCGAATTAAATTAAGTATAAACAAGACAGTGTTTAAAAATAGATTTTTAACAAAGAAAACAAAGAGTGTTTATAAGAAAGAGTTAGAAAAAAACAAACCTAAAAAGATTATCTCATTACTGGCTTGTTTTCGGGAGAGCACCAGGGAGTCGGGAAAGAGATCAAGCGATAGAGTCATGGATAGAGCGGGATAGAGATAGAACGGTACACCTAGCCGACAACGTTTTATCTCTGAGGTATTAGCTTTTCTTCGGAAAATCTCTATAAGAGAATTTCCCGAGGTATTTTCCGGGCGATTTTCTAAATAAATCTATAAATTCTTCCGCTAAAAATGATCGTTTTAATAAAGTCCATGGCAGAGGTTTCATTGCTCAAACGTTCGGTTAGGGAGGCGCGGTAATGGAATTAGACTCGATAAGTTATCGCAATTTATCTATCGATAGATTTTAGGTATCGATATAGCGATAATTATCGATAACTATCAATATATCGATAAGTGTTATTGTAGTAACTATTGGTATCTCAGCTAGTAATCGTAAACGAATAACAATGGATAACTCGATAACATCGACATGTAACATCGTATCTAAGTCAAGACGTATTTGGTATAATTACCATTTGCTTAGATCAAACTTCTTTTTTGAACCTTGTGAAGTGACTTCAATAACTTTATAGTTATGTTTTTTTGCATATTATTTATCCCTTGGTGAATCTTTAGGTAAATTAAAATATAATAAATGTCGATTAAATGGAAATACGAATTTTTCAATGGTTCATACGATTTTTTTTGAGTTAGATATATGAGATACAAAAATACTAAATTAGGTGAAACTTTAAAATAATCCCGCCCTAGCCAAACAAGCACAGTCAGAAATTACGTCACAATATAACAAATATATTATGATTTACTACAATGATCTGTCAAAAATGTCCTAATATATATTTTCTATAAAAAGTTACAAAAAGTACACTGTAAACATAATAGGATCTTTAAAAAAATAAAATATATTTCATAGATAAGTAAACATACTACTTCAAAAGAAAATGTATTTATTAAACACTAATAAATTCACAGAATTAAGTACTTGTTAATTATAAAATTAAGAAATTTGCCCTACGTTCTTCACTCCCGTCCAATAATTCTTGTTGGAATATTTAAATGACTACCGGATCTACTGGGGGATTTCCTATTAATAATATTCCCTATTACTAATCAATAGTTATCGATATATAGGAAAAATCCCATCCCTAATCTCAGATCGAAAGCCACTTTTTGCTATAATAAATCGAGATAGATTTTTCTATCAATTTATAAAATAATTTTCAGTTCTTTATCTTAAATTGAATTAAATACATTTTGGTCATTTATTGGAACAGGAAAACTGAGTCGTTTGGTCAAGTAAGTCAAAGTCATTTACATATTGACTCAGACTTATTCATAGACATATTTTTATATATATTTTCAGGGCTGGTAAATCTCGATAAAGGAAACATATATGTTCTCTTTATCGTTTTTTAAGTAAGTCCGAAACAACCGATTTATTCAACTTTTGAAATTAAAAAAAAAATGATTTATGTACTTTTTAAAAAAAAAATTGAGAGCCACCGGATTTTTTCTGTATTTACATCCCTTTTAGTGCCGTAACAAATTATGGCACTCTGTACGTTAAGTACTAATGTACTAATAAATACCTTCTTACGTAAATACTAAAAAAATAAATCCGTTTATACTACTTTTAGTTTATCTTAGGATATAGAACCCTCCAACCACCCACTAGCCGCATTTTTTTTTCTTTTTTGATCTCTCGTATCGCACGAAAACAGACACGGCCCCTAATCTGGACCAACATCCGCATCCATTATTGAAAGGATTTCGTTTTTGTTTTCCTCTATCTTCTCAAAGATGATATAGAAATTGGAAAGTTATTTGTGGGCAAATTTTCATCTTCTTTTCGCATTTTTTTTGTCAGTTTATAGGTTGTCAGTAAGCGAGAAAGCCAAAGAAAGATAGAGTAGAAAATATATTTCAAAAGCTGCGCGAGTTCGTTTCTTTTAGTATTTTTAGATATTTAAATATATTATATTGGAGATATATTTTTTAGGAATCAGAATTCAATAAATACCTCCACAAAAAAATTAATTAAAATGTAATATAAATATTCAAAATTATATGGACAGAAAGAACATTTGAAAATATAGATTTTCTGAAATATATTACTTATGAAAGGATAAGAAATATCTGTGATCTAAGACACGGCTTAGATCATGATATAGGCGTCTCATGACTATATTTTTAACTCTGTAAACATTGCTATCGATAAAACTCACCATATAATTTGACATAAAAAAGACAGTGGTCTTCAATTTCAAGCCATGTCTGGTGCCGTTTTTTTCGGTCGTATTTTAGCGTTACTTTGGGCCATTCTTTCAACTCGATATTCGAAGCTTCAAAGTTTGTCTCATATCTCTTTAGAAGGCTGGTATTGCCATAGTTAAGTGGATATAGCGGCTATGCCGTTGATTGGTAATACGTCTTCGACCGCTCTTAGGTCTATCATTCAGCGAATTCGTCTGGAAGTTTGATAATTTTATACTGGCGATGCCATATTCGTAACACATCAGTTTGCTAAATACCAAGTCTATCAGCTACGAATCTTTTAGAGTGACCTTCTTCAACCAGAGCTTACTTATGACATGACGATTGATTTTGACACTCTATATCGTAAAATTAGACTGACTTTGCTATAAGAATAGTCACACTGAAAAGGTTATATCGGATATAATTGAAGTAAACATTTTTACCGTACCAACCAACCAACAGGTATACCAACAGGTATGGCAGGCTATTAAGACAGGCAAAAAAAGAGTATTTTTTTTAATTTCACTCAAAATAAGTTATTTGGGTCATAAGTAAATGACCTAAATACAAAATATTTTCATGGTGTCGGTCCGTCTGTCCGTCTGTCTGTAACACGATAACTCAAAAACCGCTAAACCGATTTTAACCAAATTTGGCACAAAAATATTGTGGCACCCGAGAATCTGGCCATTAGTTTTTGGTGGGGGTGGGGAGTTGGTAAGGGGTATGGGAGGGGTTAAAAATTTAAAAAAATCGTAACTCCAAAATTACAGTAGCTAGCGAAACGCGGTTTTCAATTTTTTGCAACAAAATTTGTAATAACATCAAAATCAGTCAAAGTCGCAGTTTTTTGAGATAATTGAAACTAAAAGAACTGCCTACCAACTTTTTATTAACATATTTTAGTATGGGCGGCTATACGTGCCTCCCGGCACCAATTTTTTACTAAAATATGCGATGATTTACTATGATAAACATTAACACAAGTAAGCACACAAAAAATAGTTTTCCCGAAAAATGATTTGATATTAAAACAGAGTGATGGAAAACTATTGAATCTATGTATATTTCAAGTTAAATTAATTTAAAATTAACAATAATATAAGAAAATCATGGAAAAGCTATCCATCTGTTTAATATATGTAATACAAAATCAACACCATTATTACCAATGTCCTAATTCGAAACAAGCCCTTTTTTCTACCCTCCTCCTCCCTTTCTGTCCAAAGCTCCGTTATCCATTAGTTTGACCGATAGGGCCTTATTGTTCGAGCCGATCGATCGGCTTTTGTTTCTGGACCGGATTATCTTGCTCCACTAGTTGATTACTGCCTCGCCTGGATCTGGATTTGTTCCAGAGTGAATTTTCGGTTCGTAAATTATAACAGAGTCGAATCATAGAGTGAGAAGTTTTCAATAGTATGAATAATCTGAAAGCGTAAAAGCGCGTTTTCACAACCCAATTGATTGAGTCACTTGAATTCATTTTGGATCAATGAAATAACTGTATAATCGAATAAAAACGGCATCCGGTTGGCTTGGAAATGAATATCGAAAACATTCCGCTATAATTTTACATATAAAATGACAACGATCTTCATTCCATAGCCATCGCTGACACCGTTTTTATTTTCGATCATATTGTATAATCCGGGTCGTCTCAAAAGGGGCTCACCCCAATTACTTTCTTATTTTTTCAGATAAAAACCAGATTTGGTATATTAGTATATGACATAAATTAGGATTGATTGACTTATTCAATTATTTTTTTCCGTCGCTTCGTGTAAATGATTACAACTTTTGATTTTCAAATGGCACCCGGTATTTTTTTTTACTTTATTAGATAGAAAATGGAACTCTGAATAGAATGACGCCAACTGACACATGCCAACTTTTGACATTTTCGTATATGGTTTATTTGAAATTGAATCATACGGTTGATAACGACATTTTGACTCGAAATACCAAGTGTGTGGTACAAACTTATTAGTAAAAGAATGCCTTTTGCAAATATGGTAATGAGTTACCTTCGTTCCATTTGAAAAAATTGAGATAATATGATTAAAAATACGATTTGGGAATCTTTTAACCGGCCAGGACAAGACACTAAAAACATTAGACAATCAAACATTAAACAATCAAATTTATTTATTATATATTATATTGCGTCACTGACTCTTAATATACGCATTGACTCTTTGAACAAGCGTATAATACATGTGTTAGATTATAAGATTATATGAAGTAATCTGGAAGTGAATTATGTAACGCCAGACAGGGAAAATTCAGGACTGTGGAAATTACATCAATAAAGTGGGCTTCTTGGGAATTGAAGAGGGGATGGGGTACTTCCTCAAGCTATATCCTACTCCTTAATAAGTTTTCAAGTTGGTTATACCTGGAATGTGTGTCTGAATCGCGCGATAATCATGAAAAGGGAATTTGAAAGGGATAAAATGTATAATTTGAATTAAAACATTTTATAAATTTTTCTAAAGAACCCTATTTAAATCACCACACAGGCTAAGGTATACAAAAAAAAATTATAACCGATGGTATTACATGCCTGAAATCTGTAAATGCCGGTGAAAAATTGAATTAATTTAACGCTAAACTGGCTAAGTTAATGCCGCCGGCAGTAACTTAGCCAATTTGTTAAATAATATTAATTCTGTAACTTTTCCTACAATTCTAACAAATTTTATTTCTTTTTTCAGCAAACATGCAAGAAGACACCCGGATTTCGACGCCTCGGTACTAAGACAGAGGCGTGCGCCCAACCGGACCTTTTCCATCAACTCCAGCGATGGTACGCCCTCGGAAGTACTGTCAGACTCAGCGCCTAGTCCCTAGACTTACGCAAAATATCCACTTATTATTTAACGTACATGTTGTGTAAATAGGAAAAAATATATTATATATCGCTTCTGTTTTACATTTCAGTGTTTTATTACATATAGTACTATTCTTTTAAAAGTTCCTCAATATGGCCGACCTAGTTACGAAAATTGGTAATTTTTTTTAATGAAAAATAAGTTGGCGTTAGCGAATTCAGAAATTGATTTACTCTTTGGTTAACAATAATATTTTTCAGGATTGTCAAGTTGACGTTAAAGTTAGGTTATTAGATGGTTGTCATAAATAAAAACATAGATTATTGAAATTATTTAATAAGAATAAAGGTATTTTACCGCAGATCAGAAGAGATTTTACTTAAAGGTATTTTAAAAACTTTCTCAGTATTAACTGCCCTGTTTTTTATATTTCAGTTAAAGGGACGTAAGAACTATAGGAAGTAAATTTTTGTTTTCATGTTTTGACGATATCTGAGAGTTCCTAGAATTATCAAGATTATTGAATAATTATAGTTGTTTAATAAGTGAAATTAATACAACACTTGGAAATAGGATGATGCTTTTCATGTTATAGTTGATAGATCACCCCATTTCTCTTAATTTGTTTTTATTTCAGTACAGTTATCACAAATTGAATTGATGTGTGCAAAAACAGCTATATATTTTCAAACATCTTATTTAAATAGTTCTTTTATATACTGTTAAACTTAAACCAAACAAATTATAAGGTAATAAATTTTGTAGATATAATTTATGAAAATTTATAATATATAAAGATTAGAACACAATCCTCTGAAGGAAAAAGAAATACTCAAAAACTCATTAAATATACTTTATTAAATATAACAACATACAAAAACATCCATGCAAACTGTAATAATCAGAACATTATCCACATTATACCTTTATTAAATTTGTGTCCACACTCCTGTCAGGAAAGCCAGAAATGTTTGTTTAAATATTAACTTATTTTAAATTGCCAGAAACACATCAGAATATATCACAACCACAACTATAGGTTATTTTCTGTTGGTGAATTAACTAACAAATATGGATAAAAACATTCATTAATATACATGGCTTTCTTTTAATTACTGATGAAACTTCTCAAAATAATTAGAAACCTTTTTACAAACATCTGGACTAATTTATTTTCACGAATTTGTGAACGAGTATTGACTCATTCTAATACGTTTTTAAGCGTTTTACACATTTTGAATATCTTCCAGCCTATTCGTCAATTCTTGATCGGTGAAAAGATTATGTATAACTATATATTAGTACTGCAGGTTGCAGGTTAAATGAAAGAACAAAATCAAGTAGAATAAAAACTCAAAAAATAATGAAAATATTTAGAAAAAGGAACCGTAAACGTCAATGTCAGCCAAGTGTCAGAGTTCAATTGGATTTACCACAGATTATCAATTTGAACGATTTGAAGTACAGTCGATTCCAGTTTAGAGATTTTCGTTTTTTAAGCCTCCCATACTGAAGTCCGCCATATTGGGAAGTTTTAAATGAATACAAGTATACCTCTTCAAGTATACCTCACAAAACTACAACCTTTTCAATATAAATGGTGACATCTATGCTTAACTTCGATGATTGATTACATACTTTATATAAAGACTATTTAAGTTTTTTATAATTTAATTACAAATGTATATAGTTTTCAGATTTTTTTCCTATACAGGATGGCGCTTTTCAACGCCGCGGAAGCTCCAAGAAGAACGGTAGTTTTTATCGAAATGAGATTTTAGCAGCATATGCGTAGGTTAACTGAAAGCATTTTATAAAAATATATAAAATTATACAGGCTGTCCTCCAAAAAAGTTACACATAAAAGTTGTGTTTTTTCTAATGGAACATCCTATATATTAATTGATTTACGGATTCTAGGAAAAAAATAAAGGTGAGTTTTATTAAGGAAGCATAAATACCTAAATAAAATTTAAGCATTTCCACATATATCACCTTTTGTGAAAATGAAGAGTAAATTTTAAATTTCGATAACAGCTACCTAAATTTTAGTTGACCTTGTATAGCCTGAAATTTAATTACAGTAACCATTGTATGTTAAACCAAATTGAAATTTGACCCGAAAAGTTATACAGGGTGAGAAAAAAATAATATGGAACTTAGTCTCTTTTAAAAGCGACTCCTTTATTTTAAATGGAACACCTAGTAATATAATTCCGGTGTTCAATGGGGAATTTATATATCTTCAAAATATTATTAAGGCTGCCTACCCCTCAGACAAAGATTTTCCTAGATATTTTAATTTCTATGATTTTGCGTCAGTAGATCTTTAGTATTTGAAAAAATCTAGGGTGGCTGTGATATACCTATTGTTAATTTAACAAAAATTAAAGATTGTAGAGTAAAATAGTCAACGGTAATAAAAAGATACACGTTTAAAACATATTTTAATTATTATAGGATTAAAACTAAATATAAACCTATAATTATGTGACAAAAATAAGCTAGATCATATATCAAATGCTCAAAATGCTTCCTGTCTTATTAACTGCATAAAATGATTGTCTTTTCAAAAGGATCTTTTCATTCTAAAAGGCATATGTGGAGTTCTACCTCGAAAAGCAGCTATAATAATTTCTCTTATGTTGTTGACAATAGTTGGTCGAGTTTTGGCAACACTGTCTTTAACATATCCCCATAAAAATCCCAGACTAGATAAAATCAGGAGCATTTACATATTCTATTAATTGATGAATGCACCCTGCATTCACCAACTAATAGAATCATATCAATTCTCTCTGATATAGGATAAGTTTGCATTTTCGGCAAATTTCTGAGGTTGTTTTTTGTTTTAACTGACACAAAATGATAACTAGTTGTTAAAGTTGGACTAATTAGACAGCTATGTTGAAATAACGTCAGACCATATCACCAGCCACCTAGATTTTATCAAATAATAAAGATCTACTCAGATCAAATCATGTAAATGAAAATATCTAGGAAAATCTTTGTTTTAGGGGGTAGGCAACCTTAATAGTATTTTGAAGAGACATGAATTCTCCATTGAATATCGGAATAATATACTGGGTGTTCTATTTAAAATAAAAGAGTAAAATACTTTTGAAGGTGACCAATGTTCAATATTAATTTTGTCTCACCCTGTATAACTTTTTGAACCAATAAAGGTCGTCCATAGTGCACTGTTTCACAAAAGGTTTAAAATGTACTTGAACGCTTCTTTCTCTATGCGGAAATATTCGAAATTTTTTGAGGGTGAGCTGTTAGTTGTGGATATAACTTATGATGTTCACAATAAGACCTATTAATTTCATGAACGTGAGTATTTATATATTTCAGTTTAATATAATAATATAAATATGATTACTATAACAATAGCTAATTAATAAGAAACATAATATAATTTCAAGAAATAGCTTTGTGGTGCGAAATGAAACATTCCCGCTTCCCGCAAGCGGTTGTTAATGGCCATTACCAGCGTCAATTGCGCAGGTTCACAAAGCGATGAGACCTGGCTCCAGATAAGCCGGTCGCCGGAAAGCGAAAAGTCGGTGCACTATGGACATACCTTTACCTCGACCTTTACTTACCAAATTTCATACTTAGCTCTAAGTCAACGGAAAATACCCTATAAATTTTGATTCCTTTGGAAGTGTCGAAATAAAGTTTTTTTGCGGCATAAACGGCCGTATTTTTTTTTTAAGTTAACTTATTTTTTCCAGCTCCAAAAGACTGTAGACCTGAGTATATGGTTTTAATTTTAACTCGAAACATGCACGCATTTCCGAGTTAAAAGAGAAAAAATCTCATCTATAATATTTTATTTTGAACCAAATGTCACCATATTCGGCAACCAATTATATGGACATCGTATCTCGCATCTGGCATCTTGGGAAAAAGGCAGGGACCGCTCTGGAGGACGCCGGACAAAGATTGATGCAACACGACGTACGGATTAGGAAAGTTTTCCGGGATAATGCCTAAAGGAAATGGTAGAGAATCGAACCGGAAACGGTGCGTTTGTGCGGATGTGTGTGTTTAATGAAAAAAGTTTCCTTTTGTTTTATTTTTGTCATTGGACGGCAAATCCATTGAGAGTTCCTTTATTATAATCTTTATAGGATATGTCAATTTTAACAGGTGGAATAGAATCATAGATCATACAGTATGTTTCAACAAACATGTTGATTAAAAAACAAAAATTGATTTGAGAAGAAACTTTTAATGAAGGAAAATTAAGTGCTTAAAAGCACATATAACATATAATCTGTTATCTGTGTTAAAAGAAGAAATTTATACAACGTTAAAAGTGGTAAACACTCTGGCCACCAGTAACTTATTAAACTTATTATTATACGTATCGATATTGATATATTTTTGAAGCATTGAAGTCTAAAATATTTCTTTTTCGTGCCATGAAATATTCTATTAAAGAGAAAGTTAATTACAGTCTTCCAAAAAAGTCTCTCTCAAGACACTCAAAAAATAAAATGTGAGTAAAACTATACACTTTATCTCATATTATCTAAAACTTCTGTTTTATTTCAAATACTACAAACGCGTTTGTCATTTGCGTAAATTTAGAACTGTAATGATCAAACTGAAGATTATAGACAGAATTTTGTGCCAGTGCAGGGCTTGAAAAAAATAGAGATGATATACAGGGTGTCCCAGAAATAAGTGCAAGTATTTTAAGGAGTGGTATATCTCGATAAAAGAAACATATTTTCTCTTTATCGTTTTTCAAATAAGTCCAAAATAACGGAGTTATTTTACAAAAAAAGTTAAATTTCCAAAAAAAATGATTTTTTGCAAAAATTTTGAGAACCACTGGATCTTTTCTGGATTTTCTTTCTTGTAAATTTAGTCTACTACCAATGTTGCCATATTATCAAGAAATTATGTTTTTTAATAAAAACTAAAAAAATTCCGAATTTTCACTTATAATATCACAAGAGCTTAAATTATTTTCGGAAATTTTTTTGAGGGCACGAATATTTTGAAAATTATCCCGAGTCGAAGACGAGAGATAATTTTCCTAAAATATTCGTGCCCGAAAGAAA